CTGAAATGCTGAGCCGCCGCCGTTCGCTGTGGGAGGTGCGGGGAATATTCCCCTGCCTGCACCGGCGTAACCCCGGTTCCGGTAAAATCAGCAAATTTTCAGTTGTTGATTGAATAAAGAAAGAGCGTTAAGTCTGTTGAGGACTGATCAGATTTCTCGTTTGACAGAAATAAGATTGCAGTGTTTGCTTTCCTGCCCGGGAGCGTTTGCCAATGCGTGTTCTCCCTCAGCCTGGTGCGGGGCCAGGCCGGGACGGGCAGCGTTACGGGGCGATGGAGTTACCCACCTTCTCTCCAGCTTCACAGAGATTTTAGGCCAAACCTGGGGGAGGTTTTGAGCCCTTGGTTTTATCCCAAATGCTTCACTTCCATTGGCCCTGACACACCAGCTGCTCTCTGGAACCCCAGGCCGTAGCCGAGCGTGCAGCTCGCTTGGTCCTTCTGTGGGTTTCACTGTGTGATCCTCCATAACGGGGGCACAGAGGGGTCCCACGAGAGAGCACTTCGGCTTCCTCAGCTCCTTAGCGTATTAGTTTCCTTTAGAATAAACACAAATTAAGGGCCTTGGTCTCTCCCAAGAGCAACTTTGACGTTGTCAGCACACAAAAACCAATGGCCTCTACACTGTCATCCCCCTCCGGTAGTAACCTGTCTTTTCCTTCTCTCCTCAAGTTCATCCATCGCAGGAGCCCGGCTGGCTGGAAGGGACCCTCAACGGGAAGACAGGATTAATCCCCGAGAACTACGTCGAGTTCCTATAACTTTGGGCGTGAGAGGCGCCACTGCTGAGCTTTACATGGTATCCATGGCAGCCGCTGGCAGGAGTCCTGCAGACCATTTTGCTCTTTGCCACTGTGCGACGCAGGGCGAGGACTTCCCCGTACCCGCTCCGATGAATGTTTGTGTGGATAAAACCGTACGTGTCTCCTCCCGCGGCACATGCCGGGGCTGCGGGGGCAGCGGTCCCGGGGAGATGGCTCCACTCCTCCAGCCCCGAGCAGAGGCGGGCGATGCCCGAAGCCCCCATCCCCGCGGGGACCCCTCGCAGCCATCATAAACCCCCCCAGCAACGCAGCAGCTCCGCACCGCGGCCCCAGTGCTCCGTCGGGGCAGAGCCTGCAAAACCGTGAACCGGCAGGAGGGAGCCACCGAGCCCA